ATCATCATCATCATCATCTCATCATCATCATCATCATCATTCATTCATTCATTCATTCATGCATTCATTCATGCATTCAATAATTAATTAATTAATTCATTCATTCATTCATTCATTCATTCATTCATTCATTCATTCATGCTTGTCAGGATTCTGGAAAAACAGGAGTGCGACAGTTGCAATACAATTCTGAGAACCACTGCACTTAATCCAACTGCCGTACAGTTTGCCACAAAGGCATAAAGATTAGAGAGCAGCATCGTTAGCGGCAAAACTGGAGATGTCAGACGTGTTCGGGAGCTTGGACCGAAAGCAACAACAACAACAATAACAACAACAACAACAACAACAACAGCAGCAGCAGCAGCAGCAACAGCAACAACAACATCACCGCCAACAACAATAATACCGCAACAACGACACTAACGAGAACAACAACAACGACAATAACAACAACAACAACAACAACAGTCACTACTGGCAAAAATCAGGACCAATCACTTCTCTGGGATGCGGGCCTACAAAAATAGAATAGACGAAACATCGCACCCAATCTGCCCATTGTGCAGCGAGGAGCCCCACGTTTTGGAGCTATGGCTGAAGAGATGTCCAGCCACCAAGGTCCGGCGGTTGCATCTCTTTGGGGAGGATTCAGGGAGGTTGGACTGCCTCGATCACCCCCTACCCAAGAGAGGCGGTGGCCATGGCGAAGAGCACGCTTTGAGTTATTTAGACCATGAGGTGAGAAACCCCAAAAATATTCTATCTGCTTTACTAAAATCAGAAGATTATTCGGAGTCGCTGTCAGTATCAAGATATTCAAAGAATTGCATTCCAAGAAAACTTTACATGTTGTGAAACTCAAAGTCTTTTACGTCAACTTTATCAAAACTAGGTACTGAACAGATCTTACCATCATCCATCAAACTGTCACACTTCTTCCGTCTTAACCCTATCCGTACGTCGTATTTTACTATCGTATCCTTACGAAGTGTGGAATTCTGTGCAATCACTTTCCAAAGAGGAAATTTACTCGTGAATCTGATCCGTACACTTTCTATAGCAGTCTGTCAAAAGTATTTTTTGAGAAATTCTGAAAGTTTCAAAGATATCTTCGCTCTAGAAGTATTCTTAAATTTGGAGAATACAACAACGGGGGT